CCTGTCATTTTGCTCCTCAGCATGGTTTCATAAAAACACTGCAGGATTTCTCAAACATGCATGAATGAGTCAAAGCAAGGCTTTGGGCATGTTTTTTATGAGAGTATAACATTATAACATGATATAAAACTCAAAAAAGTTGATTTTACATGATTTTGCCCCTTTAATGAAAACGTGCATTTGACTGTAAAAAGGCATAGTCATGTGTTGTATTTTGTTTACCATAACTCTGACTTTATTTTATGTTCAGATGCAAAACCAGCAGAAGTACTGGGACAGCCTAGTCTGCCCCCTGAAGCTGCTGAAGAAGCGGATCTTCACGAGTTGTGGGAAGCGTCGACCAAAAAACGGCGCATGAGTCGAGAGCCCACTCTGGACTCCATCACCGAACACCCGGAGGACGATGGTAAAGGTGTTCAAAAGAAAAAAGGACAGGGCGAGGTTTTATTATCGGAGAAAGATGTCCAATCAGCTGAGAAAGACCAAGTCAAACCGGCTGAGAAGGATCAGCTCATTGTGTCCAAGAAGCAGGCAGAATCCATCCAGTCTGTCAGCTCAGAGGAAGCAAGTGTTTCTGCAGGCTCAAGCATTGTATCTTACCTGAAAAAGAGTAGCACAGCCGCCGTCACAGCAACCACTGAAGCAAAGACTTTAACCACTGAGAGGTTTTTTGCACATTTTCAAACGGAAGAGAAGAAAACAGTGCAGCAGACTGGAGCCAAAACGACTGTAGTTCAGCAAAAAGCTGAAAAACAGGCATCTGCACAGGAGACCAGCACCRTGGAGATCACAAAAGAGGATGAGCCTGACCTTACTGATGCTGCTATTAAGATCCAAGCTGCCTTCAAGGGCTACAAGGCTCGCAAAGACATGCGTCCTGCCTTTAAAGACGTCTTCAAAGAGCAGACCAAAGAACCAAATGACACCATACATCTGGAATGTGTGACAGAAGGTAAGCCTGATAAGGTGCGCTGGTTGAAAGATGGAGAACCCCTGCTTGATGGCAAGCATTATCATATTGATATCTACAATGACGGCACCTGCTCTCTGGTCATTACTGCCATAACCACCAAAGACACTGGGGTTTACACTTGTGAGGTCACAAACAAGTTTGGAGTTGCTTCCCATAGTGCTAAGGTGACAGTAGGAACAGTAAGAGACTCGTCAGAGCGAAGACCCCTGACAGTGGGTTACAGTGCAGACAGTGAGCCGGAGAGCTCCTCTGGTAGTGAGATGGATGAGTCACTGAGGCAGGCAAGCAAACGCCTCAGGCGTCTATTGCGCACACGGCTCCCACCTGATGTAGAGGAAGAGCAGTTCCTCAGTGCAGATGAAGGCGACTTGCGTCCCCCAGATCCTCATTCCTACCGTGAGGATGAAAATTACATTTACATTCGCTTTGACTCCCAGTCGGAGGCTGAGGTGGCCTCTAAGAGATTCCAGGAGATGTTTACAATCCACGGAGTGCCTGTGGAGACTGCCATCATACCAGCAGGGCCTCCTAAAGTGGAGTTGAAAATTAGAAAGATGGGTTACATCCAGGATGGCACACAGACTCCCACTCAAGATAGACAGCCTCCTGCTTTTATGACTGGAGCTCCAGGTAGGAAACACATCACAGTGGTGATTTTATTGTTGCAATTTTTCTAAAAGAAAATAAAAACAAAAACAAAACTTAATTTTAGCCAGTGTCACATTGCTAARCAAGTTTCTACAGATATTTGTTGTGCACATGAACAATATGAGACGTTGACACATACATGCTCTCTGTTTTATCTGGGAATATAGAAAACAAGCGTATAAGTCCGMCATGCTTCACACTGCTGGCTGCGATGGTCTACTAAACTACACGTTTTACACACGAGACCCAGAGCTGCTGCCTGTTTAAACTAACCTTATTCTGATCATCTTTCCTCCTCTGCCAGAATGCTGCATCTTTCAACATATATTGAACAATACAGCCCAAGATAACCACTGAATAACATAGTCCTTTTTATTACAAAACAAAATATTCAAAGGGAGGGGGGGTAAAATGTTGTAAAGCCCACTATAACTGTCCCCTACAAAGGCTGTGTCTCAATTCAGGGGTTGCAGCTGACATAGGACACATTTGTCAATTGCTTACAACATTGTGCCACGCCATAGGTTGTCCCAATTTGTAGGTGTCTACTCATGTGGCCGAGGAATGTGGCAGACCAAAAYCCCAAAAGCGTAGGCTGCATCTGATTATCYTATAAGGCMGACTATATTCCAGGATTCATTGTGCCATCAGCAACCTAAACAGAAAAATTAAGATGGGTGATTTTTTTATACACAATGGAATTTAGTTTATTTTACGGCAAATTTTGGAAATTCATCACAGACTGAATACTTTGCTTTATATTGTATGTTTAGCAACTTAGCTGATGAAATTGCTGCAATGAGATATTAAATTAAATGCAATGGCAAGTGCTGAAAACTAAACCCAAATGTTTAATGTTTTATATGTATTTACGTGTAATGTTTTTTTATAATACTGAATTTTTAAGGAGGTAACGAGGCAGTGTGTGGTTACATAACATATGTCACCTGTAGACTAGACAGTCTCATTTCACAGCTGTTTATGCAGTCTAGACTGGCAGCCTAGACCCACACATGGTGTGGCCCAAGTGGGCCGCAGTCCACGTGGGCAACCCCCRAACTGAGACACAGCCACCATTTCTCCAGTACTCTGCATTTTTTTATATGTGATATTTTTGCTAACAACCTAATTGTTCTTGTTACCCAGCTGCCCCAGTCTTCTTGACAGAGCTCCAAAGTCAGGATGTTCCAGAYGGTTATCCTGTTAGCTTTGACTGTGTTGTGATTGGCAAGCCCCCGCCCACTGTTCGCTGGTATAAGGATGGCAAACTACTGGAGGAGAATGACCACTACATGATCAATGAGGACCAAGAGGGCTGCCACCAGCTCATCATCACCTCTGTGCTGCCCACTGACATGGGCGTCTATCGCTGCACAGCTGAAAACAGCAGTGGCATTGCTGCCACCAAAGCTGAACTGCGAGTTGACAGTAAGTGAACATAAATTATAAAAAAATAGTACTCATTTTTATTTTGTAATATAAACACTGCTTTTTTCAAGTAAAAGTGTTAATTTCAAGCCTGCACATGTACATGTTCCAAGATTTTTATGTGTGTTCTCTCCCTCAGTGTCTTGTAGCTCAGATTATGACACAGCTGCTGATGCCACTGAGACTTCCTCTTACGTCAGTGCTAAGGGCTATGCCTCCAGGTGTATACATATATAGTGTTTGATATTTTAAATGTAAACCAGCTGATGTATTTAAGCAACAAGCAACACAAAGAATAAACTTTTGGTATCAATTTGTCTGCTCTTTTTAAGTAGAGAAACGGAGACATTTGAGTCTGTTGCTGAGGACGATCAGCTACCACAGATTGTAGATGAACTTCACGATGTTCACGTCAGCCCAGGTTCACCCATCGCCAAGCTGCAGCTCAGAGTAAAAGGTAAATGCATGTGTTATCTGTCAAGTGACATTCAGCAAAGTATTGCCATGTTTCTTAAATCTTTCTGTCTTCCAGGGTTCCCTAAACCCAGAGTATACTGGTTCAAAGATGGTCAACCTCTGCAAGCATCAAAAAGGATTTCCTTGTCAACAGAGAGAGATGTTCATGCTGTAGAGATCCTGGAGGTAAAGAAAGAGGATATGGGGGAGTACTCTGCCTACATCAGCAATGCTGCTGGTTCTTCTTACTCCTCTGCCCAACTGATAGTACTGAGTATGTATACAAGCATCGAAAGAGTTGACTGCATAATTCATACTGGAACAGGATAAGATACATTACATTCTGTGACACAAATGATCACATTTTGCAACAGGTCCTGGAGAAATTATGCCACAAGTTAAAAAAGGTAATTTAGCATTTATTTGTCAAACTTGGTATAGATGCTACCACGTAAAGCTGTATGCTAAAAAAGATCTTTAACATCCTTTGCACTAATATTGCACAGACTCCAAGGAGCATCTGGTGCCGCCACGATTCCTTGAAAAGTTCTGCAACAGGAAAGTGAAACAAGGAAAAAGCATCACTCTGTCAGTCAAAGTAGAAGGTAAGCTCTTTGTCCTCTTTCAACACCCTTTTTTAATAGTTTTGAATTCTAACTTGAGCCCAGATCCCAGATGTTCCTTCATGCAGCTTCATGCATTCCTTCCTACAAGTTCTCACCGTTTCTCGTCTCGTTCAGGATCTCCTGCTCCGACAGTCTCGTGGCTGAAGGAGAAATCAATAGAGGATGTCTTGTGGATCAAGCCTGATACTAAGGGATACAAAATAGCAAGCTCAGGTCGCCAACACAGCCTCATTCTGATGGACGTGGACACAGAGTATGCTGGCATTTATACTTGTATCGCCACAAATAAAGCAGGGCAATCCATTTGCAATGCTCAGCTCGAGGTGGATGAAAGTAAGAAAAACGTTAACTCGTGAATTTTACCACACGTTGAAATTTAAAAACTTAAGGTTTGTTTGTGACTTTATGTATCACTGTATCTTGCCTGCTTTCTTTCCAGCACCACAACCAAAGAAAGATACCATACCCTCAGAGTAAGTATGAACTTAAATAGGCAGATGGACAGAAATAAATTAGACTAGCTAATGTTTATAATACATACAAAACTAAATACACAAACTAGGCTAGAAAATGTAACTTTATATTCTCTTTAGGGTTCTTGGAATTACAGTCAGTCCTCCAGAAGCAGGAGTCCTTAAAGGAAAGGGTAAAAATCCATATWCTGTATATCACCAATTTAAATTGAAATATTTATGGTATGTCTGTTATTAATTACAAGCCTTTTTTCCACAAAAAACTATCTAATATTTATATTGTTCTGTTGTCTTTATGCACACCAGAAGAGGGTAAAATCCCCTACTTAGGTGAAGTCGGGTCAGAGGAATTCCTCATGAAACTCACCTCTCAGATCACTGAAATGGTATCGGCAAAAATCACTCAAGGTAAGTATTGATAATAAACAGTTCATCGTTTGGTTGCCTGTTCCCTTTTTCTCAGCTCTGACTGGCCTTGCTGGCTGCTACTGCAAGTCTAAAAAAACATTTCCCGTAWTAATTCACACATTGTTTTGTGTTTTGTTGTATTCTGGTCAGATTTGATTGGATTCATAATTCCGGTTTTGCATGGGTTGTTAAAGCTTATGTTTAATCTGAACGTCTTACTTACATTGTTGAGCTGAGAATCTTTTTTTTAATTCATTTGGAGTTTATACCAAACCTGACAGAAGAGTGGAAGAGTGTATCACTACCTTTTTTTTGGTCTGCTTGGTTTGGTTTATTCAGTCAATAATTGAATAAAACATCTCATTACGTCTCACAGACATAATTCCCTAACCACATTCAYACTCTTATCAGTCCAGTTAGACTCTCATCCAATCATTAATTTGTTATTCAGACAGTTTACAGAATGATGAAGTGCTCCAGTGGATGAAAACTTGGCCCAAATCTTCCAGTATGTATCCCAAGTGCATCAGCATCATAATTACGGTAGACATTTTTAAAGATAATTTTTTTGTTGCAACAGTAAACCTAATGAAACAGATCATTTCCACCAAAAAAYACATATTTTAAGTTTCTAAAACATTTTAGTTCTCACATATATATTACCAACCTCATCATCAATAAGTTGTGTTTTCAAAAAAGTTTCCAAAGTGGTTTTGCAATGAGATGAAGTCTCACTCAGCTTAAATCAGGAATACATGCTTGTTGTCAGACATGTATGTGAAAAAATCAGCGCTGTTTGTACTTGCATGTTGCCACTAACACAGAAGTAGTACTTTTGCAGTTTTTTTTCACATTTTCTTCTTTATGTAGTCACATAAAATTCCTAAAAAAAATAAACAAAAAATAAACAAAATCATGATTTCTTTATTTGGTATACACTGTTGACATCCTTGGAATATCAATTTAAGCTTACTTCTTTTACCTTTGTAAAGTGTTAATTACAAAAAAAAAATTCATAAAAAGCTCAAAACAACTTCTTTTTCAGGTAAAATACTTCAKTGTTTATTACAAACCAGTGTTCATTTTTAATGGATAAATAACTAATAAGGAATTCCCTGGTTCCTTCATCCGGGCTGCTGCAGCTTCATTACGCGTCCCAGGTGGTGACAGTGATGAAGAGACCAAAACTCCTTCTCCGACACCTCATCATGGCCGCTCCCATCCTCCCTCCCTCAMCGCGGATTCCTCCTCAGAGTCTGATGAAGGAGATGCCAGAGGAGAAGTAAGACATGTGGGAACAATCATATTTGGTGTGTTCAAATATTCATACATAATGAAAAGGGGGAAAGCATCTTTAAACAATGTTTACAGTTTTGATTGACAATAATAGATTTATCTCAGTTTAAAAGCTATGTGCTGTTTATAATGTGCCTGTTTTCTTTTTTTTAATCTAGATGTTTGATATTTATGTGGTGTCAGCTGACTACAACCCCACCATYGCAAGCAAAGATTCCATTTCTCTGAAGGAGGGACAGTATGTTGAGATTCTGGACTCGGCTCATCCACTGAAGTGGTTAGTTCAGACCAAACCCACTAAAACCACCCCATCGCGACAAGGCTGGGTGTCACCTGCGTACCTGGACAAAAAACTCAAAGTATGTCTCCAGGTGATACCATCTGGATGCTGTTTTAAATCTTTATCGGTGCTCATGAGTTTATAAATGTGTTCYAGCTCTCAGCGGAGACTGGGGAGCTTCCAGAAACAAGTGGGGAGGAGGTGTCAGAGGGAGAGTACAAGAGGAAGTTATTGTAAGCAAAACAAAATTTAGAGTCAGAAATCAAACTGCGCAAACAAATGTACTGTGTTTAACTCAAATTTGATGTTATTAGCCAACTGATACAGGACTTGATAAGTGGAGAATCTGAGTTTGTGAAGGAGGTGGATTTCTTCACCTCTCACCACCTGAAGCACGCTGAGAGTTCTGACGCCCCTCCGGATGTCTCCACCCAGAAAGAGACCATTTTCAGAAATATCAATGATATCACATCCTTCCATAGCAAGTAAGCTCACCTTTCAGTTATTTTGCAAATATTTGGAATATTTTTATTTTAAATCTTATCAAATTTAAAGGGGACATATCAGGCAAAAAAAAAATTAGATGTTAAATGCATGTTTTATGTACTTGGAGTCTCTAGGAGTGCAGAAATGTTTAATTTAGTCTCTTCTGGTGTTGTTGTAGATATCTTTATATTCTGTTTGGGTCATATTGTTCAACCCGTTTAGTTTTCCATTTCTATGTTTTCTGAATTATTACACTGTATTTGCGACAGAGTTGTCAAATAAGGTCTATCAGCTACAATTTTGTCATCTTCATTCTCCTCTGGCTCTGGGTCAGACTCTGGCTTCAACATGTAAGGCTAGATGGACAAGTATTCTCTTGTTGACATCTTTTAATTCATTTGTAAAAATAAATAAATAAAAGTTTTCTGCGCCACCCCTCTATCAAGCTACTACGGACCACTCTGAAAGCTGGAGGTGGGCGGGGTGTGAAGCAGTTTCTTTGCAATTAAACAGACAGCTTCAAAATGAGTTCATCTGGGACACACCTCAGAAACGGGGTGAAAGAGGGGGCTGTGGAGTTACAATAAGAGGGAATTCAGTTCAAATCCTTGCAGTTCCACTTTACATAAGGAGGATTTAAAAACGCAATATGTCTCATCTAAAGGTATTTCTCTTGAAAATCTATTACTGAGCCATTTCTCCCAACTTTCCTCTTAGGACATTCCTCCCCAAGCTTTATGAGTGTGACACAGATGATGATGTGGCCATGTGTTTCCTGAAAAACAAAGAGGGCTTTGAACAATACCTTCAGTACCTTGTAGGCCAGAGCCAGGCCGAATCTGCTGTCAGTGAGAGGACTGTCCATCGCTTCTTTAAGGTAACTCTCATTGTTTTGAACAAATATTGCTGTTTGTCATTCATTCGTTCAAATTCACTATTCACTTTTTTACAGGAGTACACYGAGAAAGAACAAACAGAATCAAAAGCTACAGATCCTCCCGTACGAAGCATCGACACCTACCTCCAACAACCGCTGGAGAGGATTCAGAAGTACAAGTCCCTGCTTAAGGTGACAGATTTGACAGCAAACGTGTGTGGCGTCTGATCAGTTTAGTTTTCTTTAGATCAGCTATAAATTGAACAGTATGTGACTTCAAGCAGTATCAGCTCTCAGATCTGGATCACTGTCGCTGCAGAGTTGTAGAAAATTTCTACCTCTGTTTCTAGGAGCTCATTCGAAACAAGGCAAAAAATGGTAAGAACTGCTGCCTGCTGGAAGAAGCATATGCAATGGTGTCTGCACTCCCGCAGCGTTCTGAGAATACCCACCATGTCTCACTGATTGAGAACTATCCTGCTACCCTGGAGGTTCTTGGAGAACCAATTAGACAGGTAACGTAACAAAGACCCTGCAGACTTTTGTTTTGGAAATAGCAATAGGAAAACGAGGCACTGATTGTGTGTGTGTGTGCTGGATTCTTTCTGTACCAGGGGCCCTTCCAAGTGTGGGAGGGCGCTCCTGGAATTAGAACATCCTCTAGAGGTCACCACCGCCATGCTTTCCTCTTCAAGAACTACTGCATAATCTGCAAACCCAGAAGAGACAGCAACACAGATACACAGACTTATGTTTTTAAGAACATGATGAAGGTAACTGATTTGAAGCAATCACATTTTTTTAATGGCTGGTATCTTCCTTCTCATAGTCTTCAGCTCTAATGCACCATGTTTGGTCTATTCTTCATTGCAGCTGAATAACATTGATGTGAATGAAACAGTGGAAGGTGATGACCGTGCCTTTGAGATCTGGCATGAACGAGAGGACTCTGTGAGAAAATACACTTTACAGGCTCGAACTGTTACCATCAAGAACTCGTGGCTGCGAGACCTCAGAGAACTGCAGCAGCGATACACCATGGGTRTATGGAGTAAGTTCAACACACACAGACTCTTATATCTTCTATAATATGTTTTCATAATCTAATTTTTTTCCCCTTTTTATCAGGTCCCCCTGATTTTGAAGAAATTTTGGCAAACTGCACAGCAGAGCTGGGCCAGACTGTTAAACTGGCCTGCAAGGTCATAGGAGTGCCAAAACCTGTAGTCACTTGGTACAAGGGTAAGATGTATACGTTTTCTTTTTGTTTTGTTTTGATTTACTCATCCACCCTGTTTTACAATATATATGACCCATTACATCAAATTTAAGATTAGGTGAAATATGGTCAAAATGACCTAAAAACACATTGCTAATGCTAATCAAGAAACCTCACTGATATTTGGTCTGAATCCTATTTTTAGGTTATTCTAATGATGGTTGTTGTGTAATTTTAAAGAGCAAACTTCAAACAGTACTTGGATATTGAGACTTTTTAGCTGTAAATAAAAAAAAGCTTAGCTATCTTTCAGGGAAAATATAAAAAAAATAAGCCTTTTCAGCTCAAAATCAGGTTTTTTGTTATTATTGCTCGAAAGAATTGTTGAAACAAATCTAATTCAAATGATCCAGATTAGGGATTTATTTACATGTTGACAAAATGCAATTATAAACATTTAAGGGCTATTTCGCCACATTCTACTTTGCAACTTAATGTGATGGGTTTCATGTGCACAGGTCAGCTTTAACTTTGTGGAGTGATTCCTTTGTTTATTTTTTTGGATGTAGATGGCCGCACAGTAGAGGCAGATCCTCATCACATCATTATTGAGGACCCTGATGGCTCTTGCACRCTGATCTTGGATAACATGACTGCAGATGATTCTGGCCAGTACATGTGCTTTGCCACAAGTCCAGCTGGAAATGCAAGTACTCTAGGAAAAGTCACAGTTCAGGGTAAGTGACCTGAAAAACTGTCTCTCCGTTGAGAATATCTGTCCCAAAAATCCCAGCCTGCATTTCCATTAAACATATCTTGCTATTTTATTATTTTATTCAGCAGCAATGTGTTTCTGTATGATTTCTGCAGTACCTCCTCGTTTTGTGAACAAAATGAGGAATGCCATCTTTGTTCTTGGTGAAGATACGCAGTTCACTTGTGTTATACAAAGTGCTCCTAGCCCCAAAATAAGGTACACCAATTATTTGTTGATTCTGTGATCGTCAAATTTTCACACTGAGCATTAATCTTTGTCTCCGTCTGTATGCAAATTCAAGGTGGTTTAAGGAGGGCAGGCTGCTGACCGACCAGGGCAAGTATCAAACCTACAGTGAGCTTCGTAGTGGGGTTCTGGTCCTGGTTATAAAAAACCTGACAGAGAGAGACCTTGGACACTACGAGTGTGAGGTTTGTCTGGACTATTCAGTTCCATAATATTTCCAGATCTACTTATAAGTCCCTTTGTCATTGTAGGTCACTGAGGGCAGATTTGATTGTGGTTTGTAATTGTTTTAGCACCTTCAAATTGATTTGAGGATAGTTGATATCAATTAGCAGCAGAAAGTCATATTTAGGACTCTAAAAATATATCCCTGCTGTTGCCAGCTGTCGAACCGTCTGGGCAGTGCCAAGTGTGCTGCTGATTTAGTCCTCCCTTCTGCTGTGGCTCGCACTGGTGAGCAGGCCATCACCATTGAAGGTAGGGATTATTTTATCCTCTTTCTTCCTGGTCTTTATTCTTTATTTTTGCACAGTACTTATGCTTCCTGTTTGAGATTTGTTTATTTGATTCACGTTGCATATAAATCGTCCTCTACCATTTCAGTTATGTTTTATATTCTGTTTTTTGCAGTGACCGAGCAGGAAACTAAATTACCAAAGAAAACCATCATCATGTAAGTGTGATCAGACTTTAATAAGACTTTTGCATTAAGTCTGCATGTGTATGCCTTTGTGATGATTTGCCAAGAAAAGTTGACTGATTTTATAACTTTAAAAACTGATCAGCAAACTTGTCTAGAATTTCTCTGTAGTTGTAGGCTGCAGGTCTCTACATATTTCTTTCTAATAACTAACGTGAGCTGAATTTAGAGCACTTTTTATGTGTTTGCGTCTCTGTACATTGTGTATTTAAAAATGCTGAAGGATTTTATCATAAGGATGATAAAAGGAGGGGCTTTTACCATCAGGGTGCTGCTTCTCACCACACAACTTTAATATTTCAATGCAAGACTTTAGGTGAAGACAGTTTTATTTGCAGTTGAACAATTCCCATTTTTACCTCAAGGGGGAAAAGAAAACTCCAGATAAAGTAAGGTCAGGCAAAACAATAAATAAAATCAGTCTGAATCAACATTTGAACTCAGGAACAATGCGTGCACTTTATCCTTGTGGTCTAATAACTACACTGGTGGCTTATTTATTGCTCTGCTTTGTCAGACATCCCCATCCGGTGTTTTAGGAGTCATGTTCTCCTCTTTAATTTCACTGCTGAGTCACTTGTATTGATGGTTTATGAATGTCCATTTAAGCACTTCGGCTACAATCATTAAATCCTTGTCTCTAGTCATGCATTCCTTTATTTATTTCAGTGAGGAAACGATTACCACTGTGGTGAAGAACCCACGTTTGAGGAGACACAGATCCCCTGGCTTGGCTATCGTTGGCGCCCACCGCTCTGAGACTTCCACCCCTGAGCTCCTTTCAGCCAGGCCAAGAAGGATGCCCACTCCAAGAAAAACAACCATCCCAACCCTTTATGTTACTGAGCCCGAGGGCGCTGATGCCAGGGCAGTGGAGAGCAAGCCCAGGTGGGTTGAGGTAGAGGAGGTCATTGAGTACAAGGTCAATAAGTCTCCCAGGCTGTCGAGGAGAAGAGGTGTCTCACCTGCAGGGTCTGACCGTGTTGCCACCCCCTCAAGACCCAAGAGGTCTACAATGGAAAACCCAAATGTTAACAATTCCAACAACAAGCTAGTGGAGCAAACCCAGACACATTGTGAGGGGGGGATCAGCAGCCAGCCCCTCTCTTGGGACGAAGATAATATTGTCCCTGGCTCTGCCTCTGGAGAGCCATGTGAACTTTCTTCTGTCCTTACGCCTGCTGGAGAAGACATCGATGACCAGGACGACGAACAAACTGTCATCTTTGAACCTGATGATGAAGATAATGAATATAATCCGTTAACAACCCAAGAGCCTGTGAAGCTGAAACAAGGAGATTGTATTTTGAACCTTGAAGACTTGGAGGATTACATCCCAGAGGAAGGAGAAACCTACGGCTCCTCTGACGCCCACTGTGTTTCAGAGGAAAAACCCTGTGAGATCTCTGTTCTCCAGAGAGAGATCGGTGGTTCCCAAGTAGGACAACCAGTTCTTCTCAATGTGGGGCGGCCCRACATCGTGCCAAGGCAGAGGAGCAGCTTCTTCGGTCGCTTCAGGGAGCATCTCTCCAACAGCGTTTTCTCATCCGCCTTCCCACAAGCTGCTGAGGCTCGGCCCAGGGCGGAGAGGCAAGTTCCAATCCGAGTGAGCCACGCCAAGGTGGAGGTGAAGCCTTCATACTGCTCCGAGGTGCAGAGAGACAAGAGCAGGCAGCAGAGCTTTAAAACCAAAGTCTCTACTCAGACTTACGGTTAYGCATCAGTTGGCAATCCCGTCACTCTACAAATTAAAGAAGACCTTTGTGAAAACCTGTAAGCAAGTTTCATTTGGTACCACCAGTTCTTAGTCTTAAATAGATACATTGCTACTGACATGATTTAAATACCTGCTGCGTTTGACAAAACCATTCCATTGTGAAGCAGCCAATCAAAAACTAGTTTGATTCTCAAAGCTAATTTAGTGATTAACGGTTGGAGTCATGCTTTCTTTAGGCAAGTGGAAAACTGTATGAATATTTTTTCCTATGTAAGCAGGTTTAAGTCTCGATCAGTTGAACTGCTTCTCAACATGCAGTGTGAACCATGTGAGAAATTTGCCAAATAAATCCGTTTGACGTTTTTGTCACGTAGATCTTTACTAAATCACGGTTTTACCAATTTKAACAGATCCAGGTCATATCCTTAGGAGAAACTTTTGACTTTATTCACAACAAGCTGTTATTTAGTGCATTTCTGTATCGTGTTTTCGGAGTTTTGATTTTGTACTTTTCAGAAATGTTGCGTTTTACAGTGCCTTGGATTTCCTGGAACAAGAAATAATTGCAGTTATTTAACATGTCGACTTTACATTTGACTTTAATGCTTGCTGTTAAAAATCAAGATTATAGAATAAGGTTTTGTTGGTTTGAATGATTCCTTTGCCAGCAGTTATACAAATATTACACTTGTTCAATCAGATATAGGTAGACTGCAACCCGTTTTACAAAAAAAACTGTAAAAACATGCAAACTCACAGGGATGTGTTGGTGACATATTTAAAGTGCCTGCATGTATGAGCTTTTTCAGATGTCTATTTAGCGCAACTAGAAATATCCAGTTGTGTTTAAGTGGAAATGTGTGCAAAGCACTGAAGCTCGCAGGATCTATGACTTTAGTGTGACGAAAAAGTGGGTGGTTTAATGTCCTCCGTAAAAAAATGTGTGGAGTTTTTGTTCTTGAAAGATGCCTTTACAAGGAATATGTTGTGAATTATTAAAAGCGCTAAGAATGTAATAGCTTGTACTGTACATGTGTAGTTTTGGACAAAACAAGGTTGAATACAAAGTGTTGATTTAAATAAATGTACAGCAACAAATTCAACCTAACTTGTTTTTTTTTCTTCTATATTTTACCCTACAACACATGCAGAGCAATTTGATGCTTTACCTTTTTATTGTTTCAACGTGTAACACAATTAGACATGAAATAAATTTGAGATAGGACTACACACAGTTCATTTATGCTGCATTAAACCAACTCAAGATATAAATAGCAATGTCAGAAACAAAACTTTCAGCCCAGAGGAATGGATGTTACAAGGTGCTTAAATGCAATGGTGCTGAAAATTTGTAATGCAAAATGTACAAATACATTATACTTTAAGTAAAACTACATGTTTTCTATTTACGCAATATACAAAATACAAAATGTTAATATTTGTCAGCTATTTGAGTAGAGTTTGCGTCTTCTCCCTGTGCATTTGTGGGTTTTCTCCAGATGTTTCTTTGTGGCCCTGTGACGAACTTCCAACCTGTCCACGCTGTACTCCGTCTCTCACACAGTAACTGTGAGAAATAGGCACCAGCTCTCAAATGACCCAGAAAGGAGAAGCGGGTAGATCAGATTCTTTTAAGTCCACTGGATGTAATTTGACTGCACAGGTGAAGCTACAAACTGAACGTTACGTTATATAAAAGTATACAAATTCACAACTGTAAAATAATCTAATACTTCCTTCCCAAAAACAAAAGCCATATCCTAATAGACACTGATATAAAATAATTGTTTTTCTAAGCAAACATTAATTTTTTGTATTTGTATTTGAATATCACAAAAATACAAAAAAAATCTAATATATAAATTTAGTTAACACATTAACATAGGTTTTATAGAAAATGTTTAAAATAAACCAATTTACCAGCACTGGAATAATTTCACTGTTTGACTGTTCAGACTAGAATGTAACYCCACTGAAAGTAAACACCACATTTTCCAGACATACGCTGTCATTTTAAACTCTCCCACATCAGATATGAGCTATTAAACCATCAACACAGGAAAAAACTAAAATAAAAATAAAAAACTGCACCAAATAATGACAGAGCTGCACGGTTTGGTGGCATTAACCAACCTACATGTGCTTTGTTTTCTACCCTTGTAAAAACCAGTTTGTCCACAAGATGGAATGAGTCTTGTTACACTTGTTTTTTTTTTGTTTTTTTTTGTTACTTTTGTGCTACTCCAGTTTGGTGAGTCGACAAGGCTGCAGGCAGCTCGTCCAAGTGACGATCTCTGTCTGATAGAGAACGACCTACTTACCATGCAAGACTCACTTCAAGTAAAAATTATTGGAGTATCTTTTCTTTCTACATGTCAAAACAAAAACAATATATATATATATATATATATACTGTATAGTATATATATATATATATATATACTGTATAGTATATATATATATATATATATATACTGTATAGCCTCACAGATCTGAAGGGAATGTACATGGCTTGAGTGGAGCTCTGTGACTTCATAAGGAGTGGCTGGATAAGACAACAAAAAACTAAAAAAAAAAGAAAAAAGGTGTGAGGAGGCTGCTGTCTCCTACGAAGATGTACCAACTTTCTTGACCTTGGTTACTTCCTGCAAAGAGACGAAAAGGAAAAAACACTCACATTTCCATRTACAGGTTTGTAAGGATCAGAGAAATCTACAAAATTAAAAACTTGTTACCTTTTAATGCTAGCAAGCTGACACATTACAATGTTTATGTTTATGTGACCTAAATGTATTTCGTAATGAATCTGCTGATTTTGAAGACACTGATGCCTTACTTCATGTGTCAAACTCAAGGCTCACGAAGCAAATGTGGCCCATCACAGCATTTTATGTGGCCCAAGAGAGCTTCAAAGATCTATTAATGACTTTAAAATAAGCATTTACTGCTTTAAAGTCAGGATTTACCATAAACTAGATCTCACACAATGCTAGTTGTTTATTTTACCTGTGAAATTACAGCAACCCACCACTACGTAGAGGTGCACAGGGTTAAAAACTAGCCAGTAGCCATTAGCTGGCTTACTTTTTCATGTAAAATCTCTATTTCACTATATTTTCACCAGTTACTGTTGCTGCAGCCCAGTTGTATTGGTTGTAAATTTATAGTAGAAAGCCCCCTCTAGTGGGCATTCCCTGTCAGAAAGTGGGAGAGTTCATAAAGCAAAACAGCAGCTAACTTACCACAACTTAACAACAGTGAGTGAAACTCTCTTACTTTTACTAATATTTCTATATTATTTATTTCACATTTAGTCATTCGTACATGTAGTACTTTTTGGTGTTTACAAGAGGACATGTTTAAATGCTGTTTCTATGCAGGAAATACCACGTAGAGCTCAGTTATTGTTTGTTACCTGTGCTCAGCAATAGCAACAAGACAAGGAATATGACGCTTCCTGTTTAGTCGAGGTTAAACACGAAAAGTCAAATTAAATTACAACTGGCCCTTTGAGGGCCACCATAATGCTTATGGCCCTTGGTGAAAATGAGTGCGACACCCCTGCCTTACAGTATGAAATACTCGCTCACTTTCTCAGCGGCCCTGAGATAATGATCTCTGGCTGTCCAAAAACAGACCCTTAGGCCCCCTCTATCTGCAAGCTTGTTCTGACACGCCCTGACAACAGCTGTGAGTGGAACTGGCAATGACAACATTCATTAAAGACTTTTCCATTCGTGTGGCACACTGTGGCTTTATAATTAATTGGTGGTTTTATTTGTCTTCTCTACACCTGTTTTCTGACACCTGCGTTAAAAAAACTGCACCTCTTAGCAACTGCTCCATGTGTTGCTTACAAACAATTACTAGCTAGTAAAATCCTCGCAGAAACAGAGCTATACTGAACATTTTCACAGTAAATGAACTAACTAATGTAATATTTTCTTATGTGTATCGATATCTCACCTCATGAAGAACTTGTTTCAACTTCTCATAAGCATCCTCCAAATTATCATTTACAACAATGACATCAAACACACCTRGTTCTTTACCTGTAGGAAGATGTAACTATTAAAACAGCAGAGTTTAAACATGCATTGAGTGWTTAAATTGGAACTTTTGTGGAAAAAAACTACTCACTAAACTCTATCTCCACTTTGGCTGCATTTAAACGCCTCTGGAGGCTCTCCTCCGACTCGGTTTTTCTGTCTCTTAAGCGTTTTTCCTGAAACAACGAGACCACAGAGGGCGTTGAGAAACGTTCAGAAAACCTTTACAGATAAAGAGCTTAAACTGCGCTCACCAGTATTTCCAAGGATGGCGGCTGAATGGAGATGTAAAGTGGGTTGAGGTCGGTCTTTTTGATGCTCTTCACACCCTGCATGTCGATATCAAGTATACAGATGAGGTTCTTGGCCTGGACGGCTTGCACGGCGGCTTTGCTCGTCCCRTACATGTTCCCTGAAAACTCTGCATGTTCGATGAACTCGCCGTTTTTGATGCCYGTCTGCATCGCCTCTCGTGTAACATAATGATAATCTAAAAGATGAAAGAAAAAAAAACATAACAACTACAGAAAAGGGCTGAAATTGATATGCTGTACATAAAAGAGGAGGGCTTGTACCTTTGCCATTTTCTTCTCCGGGACGAGGTTTTCTTGTTGTATCTAAGAAATGAAACATAAATCATTTGTCTATTTGACCCTACAGCAGAGCTGCACATATTTGTTAACCAACCTGTTGATYACTGACAAAAAAAATGCTTATGATTCATTTAGTATGCCAGAAAATGTAAGAAAACAGAAAAGTCAGACTTTTCAAACACAAACATAAAAAAGGGAGGGGTCTTTGGCTTATATTGAAATCCTATACTGTTTAGTTAAAAAGTCTTTATATTGATTTACGTTTGCCTGGATTATATTTTTAAAAAAACAACAACAACAAATTAAGGCATTGCAGAGTCTTAAAAGATTACGGTAATTAAGTGTGTTTTTGACAGTAGTGACTAAGGTCACACACCATCCCAAAGCCATTCCCAAACCAGTCTGAGCTAAATATTTTGTAATTAGAAACAGAGCTTGTGGAAACACTTACGGGACACGCTGAAACCAAAAACATTGTCATATTCTTTCATGAGCTTCTTCAGCAAAGTGCTTTTCCCTGCCCCTGATGGGCCACTGAACACCACTGGCCTGGGTCCAGCCATAGCTGAAAGAAAAGAGGAGAAAAACGTTTGTAGTAATACAAACGAGCGAGCATGGAAAAAGTGACACATCACTGGAATCCTACATGAGTCATCGTAATGTAAAATTAACCCAGGCACACAATTGACTTTAGACAAAAATAATGATCTTTTTTTAATATATATCTTGAATAACATTGATGCAGGGTAATAATTATTTCCAGAAAAGCAAAAGGGAGGGAACAAGATGATAGTGGAAACTCTCACACGAGAACAGAAAGCATACYGATTTGTTAACAAAACATGGTCCCACTATGCTTTTGAGGTAAAATAAGCCCCACCTTCACCTTTTTTTATGTCACCCAGTGGAACATCTGAATCGCTGCCGATTAGGATTATAATTCTCCAGCAAAGTATAAAACAACAGCTGTAGCATTCCTTCTTACCTCTTTTCTTTTAATACACAGACTTCAAGCAGATGAGGAAATGAAATGAACAAGGAAGGTTTGGTTGTGCGTTCAAGCAGAAGGGAGGGGAGAGAACAAGAGGGCAGGGCCACAACAAACAGTGGATGTAAAACAGCAGCTATACTGAAGCTTATAAAAGAAAAACTACAGCAATAAACCCACATCCCTGCAAGATAAAACCTGGTTGCATATACTCTTTTGTATTTTTTTAACATTATAATTAAACAAAAGCCTAAAAGAATAGACAGAAATTTGTTAGAATTGTCAACTTGAAACCTACAATCCAACACTGACATGAGAATTCCCTTTTCCTGCACAATGATTTGCGTGAGAGGAGATTGAAGACATATGAGACTACTGATCTGCACAGATTGACACTTATTGGAAGCTGCAGTGTGTCTAACTTAAAACRCATGATCCAAGCAATCATGTGACTGGCTGGTACTTGCCTGAAGCAAAATTTAAAATGTGATATCCAACATGTTTCAGAAGTCAGTTGAAATCTGTAACAAGGTGCAAGGTTTTCCTTCACGGTACACCTTCTTTAAAACTATTACACTAACGAGGGTTGTTTAAAACTGGTCTCGTTCAACCAGTTTTTATCTTTTTACAGCCTAATAGTGTGACGTCTTCATTCTTATGTTTCAAGTCTGAAAAAAGCTCAAACTGCATATTTGTAATAAACTGTTTATTACCATWGTAGAGCATAAGAAGTGTCATTCTTTTCTACAATACTACAGCAGAAATATCTACTAGATACAGACATGTTGTTTTGCAAAATGCACTTTGACTTGTGAGTAACAACTTATTTAATGTTACTAATTTGAAGAATATTGTTGTTCTTTGCCACAACTTCTGCAGACACTCTGTACTCCACAAAAGACAGATTCACATGTTTCATTCTTGAGTTCACCATTCGTTTAGAATATCCAACAGACTCATAGAAAATAGTCAAATGCTAATTTATATTTAAAAAAATAGGAAGGAAGAAAATACCCACAATGCTCATGGCATGACTTTTGGTTGCATCTCAGATATGTTATATCACTTAGATCACACCTTTAGAAACTGCTGTTTATTCTACTGAGTTGATGTACATTTAATCAGTATGCTGTAAAAAAAACTTCCAATGTATTTACAGGGTTATGTCACATGTGGTTACCTATCTATAATAATTTATTCCTTTAAAAAGTAGAGGCTACTTGTTGAAAAGCCTTAGTGTATTGTAAGCTGTTCCTCTAAGAAAAACAGAACAAGCCATCTTGCTTTGAATTGTAAGCCTGGACGACTCTAAACACAACTCCATCTGCTGCAAAGCAGCAAGCTCCACAGGATGTCAGACTCACACGCCCTCGTGGAGCAAATAAAGCCCGAATATTTGAGGAGAACCCCACATTCTGCATTCCTACCTGAAAATAGCCTGGTAAAATGTCTCAGGTACATGAGGAGATGGGTTAATCCAAGCTTTTGCMACCGTCTCCGAGGGATTTCATCCCACCAGTGAACAACGTGAGAGCCATTAGAGCAAACTGGCCGCTGCCTGCCTACGTCATCACTAAGGGCCAGGACATCGCGAACGTAAAGAAGGCGCGCGACAAAACAAAGAAACCGGGACGTTTTACTAGCTTTAGCCACAAAAAGAATTGAAAATAGTATTTTATTATGAATATATATGCTTCTATGAAGGATACGGCTTTTTTGTTGTGAGTGCAAGATATAACTGAACACAGGGAGAGTATTTGTTTTTAGTCGTTTTAGGCGAACTATAGCTACATAAAAAAACATCTTCGACTTGATTTCTGCTACTTTTTCTACGCTTATAGCTATTGCCTTAAATAATAAACAGATGTAATGTCCATTTTCCAATGTGAACACCCCTACCAGTAATCACGTTGCTTTCTTTAGTACAAGGAAGTGCAACTCACCGTAAAACTGGCCCGGATGAGTGTATCCTGAAGGCCCGACTGATCAAACACGCTACTCCTGCTGCTAAAGTTAGCTGCAGATGCTAAGTGCGTGAGCTACTTTTCTGTCAAATCTTCACCTTAAACCCACAAAAAATAATGTTCGGCTCGTCAAGATCCGGAGGCATACGAGGAGGACAGGACCAGTTTAACTGGGATGACGTAAAAGTCGATAAACACAGAGAAAATTATCTCGGTAAGTACAAAAACTCGCAGCTGAATCAGCTATCGGTGCTAACCAGAGAGGGCGAGCATGCATGYTACAGAGCAAGATAGTGAACATGGCAGTGAGGATATGCACTTTAGCTCCACGTGTAGCTGCTTCATACCTTTTGTTTTGGAGTCCCTCATTATATAAAGTCTGGACGGCTCTAATGCGCAACTATTAGTCTGGCTTTCTGACACACACACATCAGGTTTTCACTTTCATTTCCATATCTCTGAGCAGAAACACAGTCCCTCCGTGTCCTGACCGCTGCCAGCACGTCTACAGCATGCCAAACATGAGCTACGTAGCTGTCAGCACAGATGTGACATGAAAGGCTAACAAAAGTAACGTTACACAACCATTTGGCGAGTTGTATTTTGGGGAAACATTTAGGATGTGAAGTTTCATTTGAAATTCATTCTAAAGAGAAGATGCGTTATATTGTAAAATGTTAAACTGCACAATTTATCTGTGCTTTTGCAGCTGTTTACACAAGATTGTATCAAACCACCTCAGCGCAATGTGCCTTTTTTTCAGGTTTACAAATCAGGCATGGAGTTGTCACCTAATTTAATTGCACTGTCAGAAAATAAATACTATACACTGGATCAAGTTTGACTCAGTTAAGGCTTAATTAACTTTGCTCATGCGATATCAGAAAAAAAGTTACTAGTAAGGAAAATAATAAAATAATTTTTGACACATTTTAGAGTAAAATATATTTCATAGCATGCCACTCTGGTATAAACTGTCAGAATGTAAGTTTTAAATGTTAATTTTGTTTGCCATCTCCCATGGAACTGTTGATTTTTAACAATTACGTTTTACAACTTTCTCCTGTCTTCTGTTCTTCATAACGCTGACCTGACTCATGTTTGTTTTATGCAGCTGAATCCAAAATATATTTTCCCCTTAAAGCACATCAGTGTGTACATATTTTTAACACCATTTTAACTCACTTGCCCTGATTTTCTCCAACAGGAAACTCCTTGATGGCACCGGTGGGTCGGTGGCAGAAGGGCAAAGATCTAACATGGTATGCAAAAGACAAAAAAACTGGCAAACCTTTGTCCAAAGAGGACGAACTTGCAGCTGTAAGGGCAGCAGAAGAGGAGGCGCTGATGGCTGCTCTGTATGTGTAACTTACTCTGAAATATATTTTTGTAATGATGAAGGTTTAAAGCATGATAATGCTCATTTTCTCTTTCCCTTTCATTTTTTTATGTAGGGGGCACAAGAATATAAAGAGACAACCAACTGGCCTTACTAAAGAAGTATGTGACTTATCTGGAGAGAATGTTTTAATAACTTGGTACCACTAAAAAGGCTTAAACGGTTTGAATTTTATTTTGTCAGGACCTCGTAGAGGTTTGCAGGAGGGAAGAGGCTGATGGTGAGGAAAGGAACGTGGATCGTATATCAGGCTTGGGAAGTTCCAGGTGATTATAATTTAGTCCACGTTATTATGTTTTGTAAATTCTTAGCCTTGCGTTATAAAGTAATTCCCCAAAATAAAGAGTTTGTTTCTGTCGAATGTTTTCATCTTAAGTGTGGGGTCACGAAAACTGGTGCTTTCCCAAAAAGAAAAAGAGGCGATTAAAATGGGTCTGCCAGTTTTTACGGTAAGTTCTGTTGCCTTTTCATTTGTTAAATGTAGATTTAATATGGTGCAGATTTTGATTATTTGTTTCTTTTTAATGTAATGTGTAGCTGATTGAGTCAATACTCTTGTAAATGTGGGGGCAACTCTTAATAGATGCTTGAAACAGTTTGTTCCATGTGATCGACAAAGTACTAGAATAATTAAACCTGTGCTTTCTGCGCAGCACCACAAGACCGAAGGTCRTCCTGAAACATCAGCAACGAAAACATCTGAAAGTGTTGCAAAACAAGAGGTAGAACAAAAGTAAGAATGGATCATTTTCCTGAGCCTCCTAATATTTCACCAACAAAATATTAAAAGTTAAAATTGACTTGTTTATTAATGAATGGGGAATCCAGCAGGCCTGAGAGTAAAAAGAAAAAGAAGGACAAAAAGAGCAAGAAGGAGAAAAAGAAGAAAGAAAAAAAGAAGAAAAGGCAAAGAAGAGATTCATCCTCCTCAGACTCAGATGATAACAGGAAGAGGTTTGTCCATGTGTTCATTAAAAACGTTTGATAATAATGTACCTCAAAGGATTATAAACAAATAATAAAACACAGTGCATTTCCACCTTTATGAAGTTACTTCCAATCAAGTTAAAGCATTACCATTTAAAACATATTTATGTTTTATTAGATCCGAAATTATAATTTGCATTGCGTGTGGTGTCCTTTTAGAAAGATATGTTACTAAACTATAATGCATAATTTCTCATTTGTCTACATTTACTGCATTACTAACAAACTTGAACACTGGTTGCAAAATACTGAATTCCCACTAGAGGGCGCTTGGACACTGTTTTACTCATTTAGCCTTGAAGATTCTATTTGTTTTGGTGTATCACAGAGTTAAAGATTATTCATCATCATGAGAAATTTAGGGGGAGTGTCAGACTAAATATAATTTATAATGAATGACTTTGGGAGGGGGATATAGATGGTTGTTGGTTGCATATGTGCATTAATGAAAAGCTTTAAACATATTTTCTCCTCACTATAGCCAGAATATATATATATATATATATGTATATGTGTGTGTGTGTATATATATATATGTATAATAATATACATATAATAACATAATTTTGCATTTTCAGTGGATTTCCCCATCCTTCCCCAGCTCTACTACAACTTATCAGAGCCCCACCGCATCCCACTCACTGAGTTGTTTGTTTCCTTTTACTTTCAGACACAAAAAGGACCACCATCATCATAATCCATCATACCACAGTCAGAGTGGAGCCAGACCCCATGACAGCCATTCAAGGTGGGGAGAAAAGAACGAGCGACAGCCTTCCCACCCCCATCATCGACAGCAGCGGCATGACACAGACTCCTCTGACGGGGGGTCTCCTGCCCGCAGCAACCCTGCCATCCACAAGAAGGCCCCTGCTGGTGCCACACAAAGTCACAGGCGGCGCCACGACACAGACTCGGACGACTAATGTCCTGCTCCCCCATCCAATCAGATATAATACAGAAAGGGCTCTACAGCAGCCTGACTGGCCAAGGACAGGATAAAAACTAGTCAGTGCAATATGTTTGAGCCTTTTGTATTAACTAATTCTCTCAATACGATGGTCATGTGGTAGTATTGATGTGGTGTATTATTTTTGGGCTACAATGTGACAAGCCTTATTTTAAAAAAATACATCACATAGAAACTGATTTTTTACATTTGTATTATACACGGAAAACCAAATTATTTTGTAATCATCTGTCCAAGCTCTTGTTTTTTTTTTAACTGAGCTCATCAGAGATTTGAAACTAACGACTCTTGCTGCTGTCGGGAATTTGTGTGATTTAAGTTTTACCAAAACAAAATATGACTGTGTGTGTGCTGCATCTATTGCTACTCATTTCAAAATGAAAAATGAGTTTAAGATTAAAAATTCTGATGCCTCTGCAACTTATACTTTGATTTTTCTTCTTTTTTTGTTGCAACATCTCAAAGATGCTGTTTGATCCTCTATCCTACTACATCACTCACATTTCTCAGTAACAATGGTCATTTTCTTTTCACCTCCCCTCATTAATCCTCTGTCATTCTCAGATCAGATCCTTGACTGGCATTATACCCCTGAAATGATCTCCCCTGGTTGTTAATAGAGTGCAGTGTTTGCATTTGCCTTGAATTGGTTTGAAGGAGGGGATTTTGCAGAATGGCAACTGGGGGCAACAGGGAAAAAAAAATAAAAAGAGCAAGGCATTCAAAAAAACTGCAAAAAACAAATGCAGACTGGTCCTTTTAATAAGGCTGAGTAGTTAGACCACCACACACAAACCAAGCTGATGAAGCAGCAGGAGTGGATGCCAGACAAAGCCACCCTATGAAGGACCCGAGGCTCAAACTACCACCATGACCATATACTCTCCTGCCTTATTTTATAGGCCTGGCTGCGTTAACCATGGCAGCCTAATCAACCAGCAAGAATGCTGTCCTCAGATTGCCACCCTCAGACCAAGCGAAACAGGATGTGCTCTTCAAATAACTGCTTTAACCTCGACACAGGGAGGTTTCAGCACTTAAGAGCATCATATTTCTTCTTGCTCCATTAGGTGACCTTTTTGTTCTCCTTATACAATTATTGTATGAAGACCACAACATAATTTTAATAGACTGACTTTGATTTAATGTGAAAGAAATAACCGTAAATTAACACTTAAGTGGTTTAAAACAAAACACAGTTCCAAAATATGTTTATATCCAATCATTTTTATTTGTAGTGTTTTCCCCACACACACAAACAAAAGCTCAAAACGAATCAACTCAAGAAATGAATCACAACATATAAAGTCAAACTTGCACTCTTTATAGATAAATCTTGGAAAAATAAAGGCAATGTGTCCTCAACTTCAACAACGGAGGCATTTGGCCTTTTGTTACAGCACAACTGGCAGCACTGAAAGATGCCGTTGATTTTGGTATTGCTCTGAAAACATTTCCCAAACTGAGCTCAGATAAAATTTACTGGTGTCTTATTGCTTACAATAAACATACAAAATTAAACAGTAGAGCTACAGGAATAAATAATCTGTTGGGTAAATAGTTTCTCCTCTGCCTAATGTCACTAGAAATATGCATACTCCAAAAGGCCAACATACCACATTGTCAACCTGAGWCTCCTGAAAATGCTAAACACAAACCCCATCTTCTGCCTTCTCAAGACTAAAGAGATCACCTGACTTCCTGTAATGCAACACACCAGGCAGGTCTGTAATCTCTGCAGCACTTTAATTTGTCTACATATTTCACAACAAAAGCTGACAAGTATTCACAAACAGGAGTGATGTCAGTACAAATGGTTAATTCCATTGTACCAAATGGTAATTTCAAAGTTCTTGCATGTARTCAGGAACAAGTTAGCTACAAGTAGTGCATCAGTGTATAAGTCAGTATAGTTTTAGAAAAAAAAAAAAACCTTGATGATCACTTCCTACAGTGCACAACCAGAAAAATCCCTTGACTGCACTAAGGTGCCAGTGCGCTGGTATAAAATACAATTTCCTCCCTTTTTTAATCAAGTCAAAGCCACCCAGCAATCAGGAAAAGAAGAATCACCACATGGTTTTAAAGAGTGCAATTAGCTCCCCCATGACCCAAATTTATTTACAAGTAAATAAATTTTAAAAAGTATAATAATAGAAGCTTTACATGATTAGATCACCCCCACTGCTGGGCTGTGTCTGAGATCAAACCTAGGCTGGGGACTGTTTCCAGTGTGGAGGAACTGGTTTTTTTTTCTTTTTTTTTTTCCGTGTAAATAGAAACATGAGGTTTTGTGAAATGCTCTGATTATTGATGATGCTTGAGCTGATTAGATAACCAATCAAGTCCTTCATAGAGACCATCTCCAGTGGTGGCACAGGTTGCCTGGATGTACCAGTTCCTGCTGCGCAGCGAGTGAAGTTGCAGCTTGTCTGTGAGCTCTGCAGCATTCATGGCATTTGGGAGGTCCTAGAAGCAAATCGGTGAGAAAACATTAGAACCCCACCATCATCGAGCCAACAAGAGAACAACAAAAAAAAAAAAAAAAAAGAAATCCCCCAAAACTTCTGACATTCATTTGCTTTTTAAGGCTTCCAATACTTACCTGTTTGTTGGCAAACACTAAAAGCACAGCATCACGCAGCTCGTCCTCTGCCAACATTCTTAAGAGCTCTTCTCGGGCCTCAGCACATCGCTCTCTGTCATTGCTATCCACAACAAAGATGAGACCTGTGTTTAGAAGACAAAAGATGTGCAGCGTTATTTTTTTAAAACAAACAAAAAAAAAAGGCTCAAAAAATGAAGGTCAATAAAATGTAAGAGATTACCTTGTGTGTTCTGAAAATAATGGCGCCACAATGGTCGGATTTTGTCTTGACCACCAACGTCCCAAACTGTAAAACTGATGTTCTTGTACTCTACTGTTTCTACATTGAAACCTGAGGGAGAAAACAGATTTTTATTTTTATTTTTTTGCATTCAAGTTGTCAGTTCTGTTACACGCTTATCACAATGTTTGGCTCACCTATCGTGGGGATGGTTGTCACAATCTCTCCGAGTTTAAGCTTGTACAAAATAGTTGTCTTTCCTGCAGCATCCAGACCCACCATGAGTATCCTCATTTCTTTCTTCCCAAACATTTTAAAGAGTCCTGCAAACATATTCCCCATGGCGGCACAAGATGGGAAAACACTTTTGTCCAAAAAATAAATAAAAATAAATTAAATACACATATAAAAAAGTGTAACCCCCCAAAAAATCTGTGGAGAAAAAAAAAGAAAACGTATTGTAAGTTAAGGAGAAGTTAAAATAATGAACACCAAAATGTTGTTCCTGTACGAACAGAATGTGTCAAAACACTGACTGGCAGAACTCAAATATAATGACCAGAACATATGAGAACAACATTTTAATTACCAAGGGGAACAATATGGCTTTATTGTTTTATTATATTTTAGGGCCTCGTATAATTACTAAGCTAGACATAAAATGCTACTAACCAATACCTCTGTTAACTCAACAGTGGCCTTTGTCACTTTTACAAGATATGAGCAGCAAGCTGTAAAATATGAGTAAGCGATATTGTTTCTTAGGGTCCTTAAAAGGTTTAGTTGTGTTATTGCTACTAATATCAACTTTTTTATTGTTACAATCACACTTTACTGACTAAAATATCGCATCTAAATAATTTGCTGCTGTCTGAGTGCAGTATTAATCTTAAAGTTAACCCAGCCTGCATTTATGACTGTTGTGCACACGGCACGAGAAGGTGAACATAATGAATGCAAGCCAATGAGGGCATTCCTATAACATGAAAAGTTGCTTTGCAACTAATTTCACGTTTCGAATACAACTCGCTTCATGAAAAAGAGATTTTTGTACAGTTTKTATTTAAGAGCTCGGGTTTCAGTTCTGGACCAGTCGAACTTCTGGAAGCGGAGCTAAAGTTGCCCAACTCTACATAAACACCGACATTAGCTTAGCATTGTGCAATGCTACAACACGACCTTATTTTACAACGACATGCAGTTGAATAGAATGATGTTATCTTTTGAGATATGTTAATGACAAATGGATAACTCCGATACGAAATCAAAAAGAGGAAAAATAAAATAGGACAGCATCATCCTCGGTTTTGAACAACACACAAGTTAATCATTTCGGTGTTTGTTCTCTGAAAAATAAAAACTCAGCCACACACTCATTCAGCGTGAATACATATACTTTTATGAACGACTACAGCCTCTTAGCAAATAGCAAAAAGCTCAACATTTACTCGGTTCATGTAAAAATCTCCTTACTTACTCGTTGAGCGTTTTCTTCCCTCAAGCCGTTTCCTCCCTTTCAGGAAAATGGCTACAATTTGACACGTCAGAGCTTCCAGCTGAACTTCCGTCAGACTCTGAGAGGAGTCGCCCCATGCGGTTAAACAGGGAATTGCACCGTTCTGTGGCAYAATTTCTGCCTTCGCGTTTTACATTCATTAGCCATAACATTACGACCACTAATGGGTAAGGCGAGTGACTTGTCATCAGTTTAATAATGGACTGTTTCTTTGTCTCTTCCAGAAGAAGGTGCACCTGGACCAGTCCTGGACCAGTTCTTCTGTGTTTGTCTGTGTCTCTTTCCTGTCCCCCAAACCAGCCGGTGGAGGCAGATGGCCGCCTGTCCTGAGCCTGGTTCTGCTGGAGGTTTCTTCCTGATTAGCAGGGAGTTTTTCCTCTCCACCGTTTGCTCAGGATGGGAGACTGTGATGAAGTGATTCAACGCAGCCTGMTGGTTTCTTCTTTAGATTGTTCTTTTTAATGTACAGTGCCCCGAGACAATGTATGTTGTGACTTGGAGCTATATAAATAAACTGAATTGAATTGAATTGAACTGAATTGAAACTGTTTCTCTGGGAAGACCAGGGTAGCTTTCATTTTGACAGTTGTTATCTACCAATTTTATTTGTATATCCAGTTACCCTTTTCATCTCCTCTCACTCTCCTACATCTGCATCCTCCTCAAAGAACTGCTTAAAAAAGAAAAAAAAATCTGATTGGTACTAATGCCAAGTATTCAAACATCCATTTTGTAATAATCTAAACTAAATCAAATCTAAATTTATAAAGAGCAGTAGAGTATGTGATAGATGCATATGTCTGACATCTGAACTGCACAAAGCATCCATCCATCCATCCATCCATCCATCCATCCATCCATCCATCCATTTTCTTCCACCTATCTGGGGACGGGTCGCGGGGGCAGCAGCTTCAGAAGGGAGGCCCAGACCTCCCTCTCCCCAGCCACTTCTTCCAGCTCCTCCGGGGGAACTCCAAGGCGTTCCCAGGCCAGCCGAGAGACATAGTCCCTCCAGCGTGTCCTGGGTCTTCCTCTGGGCCTCCTCCCGGTGGGACGTGCCCGGAATACCTCACAAGGGAGGCGTCCAGGAGGCATCCTTACCAGATGCCCGAGCCACCTCAACTAGCTCCTCTCGACGTGGAGGAGCAGCGGCTCTACTCTGAGTCCCGGATGACCAAGCTTCTCACCCTATCTCTAAGGGAGAGCCCAGCCACCCTGCACAAAGCAGGAATACAAAAAAACATTTTATAATTTTAGTACCTGTGAATTATTGTTGAAAACGTTGAATGCACAGCATGCATCTGTCATATGCTGCCAATACCTTATTTAAAAAGCAGGTCATTTTAATATATTTTGAATTTAGCTATTCCAGTTTCAGTTAACGCACTATTAACTCGTTATTGCAGCTTAAATATTTCCACAATGCCACAGCCTGATCTACACAGTCATTATCAGATCATGTTARGTCCATTAAGATGTTTGTTTTCAAACTTTTTCAAATTCACCCTTCTCCTCACACACACAACCAGGCCATTAAGGAAAATCTGACCCTGTTGTTKTAGAGAAAGTTGAATTTTAACTAGGGTCAAATGTGCCTGCTAACCCCAGCAGAGGGGGCAGCAAGAGGGGAGAAGACCTGAGGAGAACAGCAGGGGTGGGGGGCTGAAGGACCACACAGCCTCATAATGCTGTCTCACTCTTCAACCGTAATTTGTGGTTTCGCCTCAGCAAAATTGCTCTCAGTAACTGCTGTTCTTTTTTTAAGTATGTAGAAGGTAATTAGTGCTGCAAATATTTACTTTCTTATACATTTAACTTTCTTCTGCAAAGTGATGTTGAAGTTTGGGTGTCATTTTTCAAATGTTGGTTGCATTTCTCAGATTTCTTTTGCTATTAAATAAAAACAGTAATATGGTCTTCTCTATAGGGATATTATTAACACTCTAAAATACGTTAAAGAATAGAGAAATAGAGCACATTATGAAAAATATATACTGTTTTTAAAAAAAAAAACTTGCCACCAAGTGACAATTAAAAAAAGATTGATTGGTCGCATTGCTTGACTGCTATGTTTCATGCTTTGCCTGATGTATCTTAAGGGCATAGGCCACACTTTGTGCCAATTTAAATATCCATGTGTGCCATTTTTCTTCTTTGCCATTTAAAATATAGTCTTGTTTTTATGATGAATATGGGTTCATACTTTTAAAATTATATTTACATCTAGAAATCACAATGCACTGAGATGAAAACTGCAAATCCTGAAAACAAAATTACCCCCTTTCATWTTACCGTCTTAAGAATACATTGAGAGTAGTGTCGGTCTTTACCACTTCCAGCTGATATTGACCAGACAGCTCAACTACATAAATTTCATATTTGTGGCACAAAATCATCATCTGAACTCTGCTGTTTTCTTCTGCCTGATGGGTTTGTTTCAATTGTGCAGCTACAGTGAGGTTGACAACAATRACTTCCAAGTACAAAACGCAATACTCTCAACAAATATAGCTCATAACTAGCATTTAGCTAAAAAAAACAACTACAAAACATAATTCATAAAATGGAGTTTGAGTTATTGTTTGGTATTCTGAAAGTGATAATCTTRCATTATTCCTCAAATTTGAATTAAATTCAATAGGTTCATGATTGTTCTTTAACAATGACTTGAATATATGCTGCTAAAATAACATTATCAATGTTTTTGCACAAATATTTCATTAAGCTTCATTACAAAGTGAAACAATCAAYTAAAATTTAAAGGGGCTGCTTGCTCTAATTATCAGATTGTCTTTATTTTACTTCAAGAAAAAGTTGTTTTTCCCCCCAGAAATCACATAATACAGACAGTGTGTACAGTTGCTGTTCTCATTTGTGTTCGTTGACATCTGTGCTCACACGTTCTTGTGTCTGTTTGAATGTTAAATAATATCAGTGCAGTCTGTTTGAACCTGCCGCCAGTAAAATTAGCTTAATTATAGGTTTGWTAAAGGAGCACAGCAGTGTATGAAAGCAACACATATCCAGCAAATCCAAGTTTACCATCTGGGTGGTTGACTATTATTATAAATGACTGTCCTTTAAGGTTCCAGCGGCACCAGCTGGACCAGTGCAAACCAATAAACAGCACAGCAAACGCCWCATAAATAATAATAAAACATGTTCAAGTTTGAGATCAAGCACTTCAACTGTGCACTGTTAGGCCAGCTTTCCTTTAACAAGYCAAAATACATTTCTTAAAGAAGACCAAAGTRGAAAAYACACATACACAAACACACACAGAAAAACTGTAACTCCTCAAAATTACAAATACAAGGTTCATTTTTTTTCTTCAAATGAGAATCCAAAGTTCAAACAAGTGAAAAATAAATTAATAACTAGATAAAGCCAAATTCTAGAACTTTATCTAAAAATATCTCTATATATGGGGATTTAAGTGGAAAAACACAAAACCTGAATTGGGTGGATACTATCCAGTTATTCACTTACCATGTAGAGAGGTGAGGGTACCGTTTAGATCCAAGAGGTTACGCTAAATCCACTATACTCCACAGGCTAACCCAGCGGTAATATCCAKTTGAGGGGCTCTTCCTCCTTCTTTTCGGCTTCATATCTCACCGGATACTGACAGTTGTGATGCGTGGACAGACGACTAGAAATAGGACAGTAGGGGGGTGTATATATCGCACACAGACCCATCTGAAAGCACTCACACAAACACACAAACAAATTTTGATGGCACCGCTGAGGTACACGCCTAACAACTTTCTCCCACACATACAAAAACTCACACACGCAGGCGCACATGTTCACCCCTTTTCTTTTTTTGGGGGGTTTAATTTTTTTTTCTCAGATCTTCTCTTTATTGTTGGTAAATGTCTCTCCCCAGAACTCTTATGCCCACCTGGGGGGCCACAACCTCATGGAGGTACAGCTACAGTAAAACTCAACTGGTCTCAAGTAGGCCTCTCTAGAACAAAATATACCATATGTATATTTTTGTTGAAGAAAATGGATGTAAGTCATCGACTGTGATGTATTTTCAAAATACCTGAGTCATTAATAGCAAAACCAATGCATATTTATGGTTCAAGAGTCTTAGAGCAAGTTTGTGAATGGAAGAGGGCTGCCAAGGGGCAAAACAGGCTTTGCAGTAGGAAGTGGGTAAAGTCTCAGTAGGGGCCTGACTCCCCTCTGAGACAAGGCCTAGCAAGGATAAAAACACTCAGTAAGGGGCTTGGGAAAGCTTGTGTGTGTATGTGTGTGTGTGACAGCGACACAGAAAAAGAGTACATCAGTTGCTTAAGTTTTATGCCTTAGAAATGTGTTCTCCATTAGTTTCCAGCACTCATATAYATTTTATCAACAGGTTTTGAATTCGGGGTTTGTGTTTTGGGAGTTTATCACAGTTAATCATAATAATCGTGATTATAGATGCACATTATGAAACCGCCCCGGGGCAACCAATAGACTGCCGTGCAAGCCATACAAAGGAGCTGGTTTGGCCTAAGCAAGGCTGGAACTCGGATGGACAAGCATGGGATGCCTCCCTCTGCGTCTCATGTACTGGATTGTAAGGCGGGCCAAATCCCAAAGGTGGTGTGAAGCAGGAAACAAACCGAACATTATTACAACGACCTGTACGGTTGCCATGAGAGGGTCCGTGCTGGCTTGCTCCATTGGCAACAAGTCCCACTGGGCACCCAACCCCACGCCTCTCACAGTAGGGGGCGCTAAAGAGAGAGACGGGCCGGGGCAAAAGGATAAATGTGCACCAGTGTCGCCTGCCAGTCACCTTTGTATGGCGATTGTCGGCGCCCTGAAAAGGTCGTTAAGGGGATTTACATAAAATTTTGCACTCCGCCCTGGGTACACACAGAATTGTTTGCTTCTATATAACTACATGAATATTGCCCAGTATTTTGACATAAAAAATAAAAGGAATTTGTTAGAGGTATAGCAGTTTTAGCTACTTGTTTGCAATAGTTAAAAATGAAAATGAGAAATTGAGTTTGGACTATACACTGTAAAAAATGAAATGTT